CTGAGGTGGATGTGCGGGCACACTAGGTTAGACAAGATCAGGAATGAAGATATTCGGAGGAAGATGGGCGTCGCCCCTGTGGATGATAAGATGCGGGAAGCGAGGCTCAGATGGTTCGGGCACGTACAGAGGAGAAGCATCGATGCTCCGGTGAGGAGGTGTGAGCGGTTGGCCGTGGTGGGCACGAGAAGAGGTAGAGGGAGACCTAAGAAGTATTGGGGAGAGGTGATCAGGCAAAACATGGTTCGTCTGCAGATTTCCGAGGACATGGCCCTTGATATGAAGGCCTGGAGGACTAGCATTAGAGTTGTAGGATAGGGGTAGTGGAGCTTTCCTTGCTGCATGCCTGGGGTGAGGCGGGATTGGATTGGGGTTGATCTTAGATAGTTTGCAGTTTATGTTGAACTCACACTATTCTTGTTGTTTATCTTAGATTCCTTAGACTCTGGTTACTGTTATTGCAAGTCATTCATCTTTTGATTTTTAAGTTTCTGTTACTATAATGGTTTTTACTGGAGTTACTAATGAATTCTCTTTTCTTTTCTTATTTTCCTTGTTTTTCTTTATTTCCGTCGTTCTGAGCCGAGGGTCTATCGGAAACAGCCTCTCTGTCCTACCGGGGCAGGGGTAAGGTCTGCGTACACATTACCCTCCCCAGACCCCACTATGTGGGATTTTACTGGGTAGTTGTTGTTGTTGATAGTTGGCTCGGATATTCTCCCTGCAAAGATACTTTTCATGATTTGTTTGAGTTATCAACTTACAAGGAAGCTTCTATATCACAATATCNTTCCCCATACCCCACTATATGGGATTTTACTGGGTAGTTGTTGTTGTTGTTGTTGTTGTTGACAAAAATACTGGGTTCAGCTGAACCGGTACCGAAGGGCTGGATGCGCCCTTGTGTAATATAACCTCAGAACAAAAGGATAAGATGAACAAAGAGAATTTTCAGATTTAGCCATTGCAAGACCTCACCTTGACTGGACGCAAATTTTGCTTCGAAGATGATTATACGAAGATAATGCTCCGCAGAAAAGCTTCTGTTTTGCCTTAACAATTACCATATTCAAAGCAGCAGCATCCAAAAATTCTCTGGTACATAATCAAAGAACTAATAATTACAAAAAAGAACCAACTCTAAGGTTTGCCTTCTCTTGGTTCAGTACTAGTGTTTCCCTCAGTGATTAGTTATATGGCTTTGGCAATCCTTAGCTCAAGCCTTTAGAGTTGAGTTAGGCCCAAGCTATATCAAAGCCAGGCCCCCCAAAGTTAAGCTCCTACGGTAAATTGCTCACGCTCCAAGAGTTGAATTAGGCCCCAGCTCCATCTCATCATGGTATCAAAGCCAGGCCCCCGAAGTTGAGAAATGGATGCTGGGGCAATCCTTACCCTTTGAGCTAGCTTTTGGGATTAACTTAGACTCAAGGTCCATTCTTATTACTTATACTTGTAATGGCATACAGGGCAAGAAATGGATGAGGTTAACTTGTTTTAAATATACATGGATTCTCATGGCAATCTTAACAAACCAGCCTCTATATGGGGAGTTCGAACGAATCAATTCCATTGAAGAATTATACTCTGCAATTAGGATACAAACTATTTTTAGTAATTAACAGTTGTAAATCTCTTTAATATAAGTGAAGCTTTTAGTGTAGTGGCAAGGGTAGCTAACACTTGCCCTACAACAAGCTTCTTCTGCAACTACAAAGAGCATTATATTCAAGGCTTATGCTTCACAATTATATGTTACCAATTGGACCGTCCATAACCAGAAATAATGGACAATAATACACCAACTTCTTAATGCATAGAACTGCTCTCAGAGCTTTTCGATATTCACACGATGTCTATATAGTAATTAAAACAAATTTACTACTCCATGGAATGGTTAACATTTTGTTAACAGACGGTCATGAGCATGCTATCTGCCACTTCCAACAACAGATCACAAGAAACCGAGACAGACAACACAAATAGCAGAATGTATTCATGCGAGTCTCTCATCATATTTCCAATCGATTTGCCAGATGAATCTCAAATTTGCACCAATTGCTGTATTTCAACTTTACAATTGGTGAATGCTCTGGTACAATATTCAGGAAGTGATATAACAACACTTGGCCAACAAGGAACTTTACAGTCATAGTTAAACCACTTCCAAATAGTGTCCCACACTTCTAACCAAATTCAAGCTGAATATAACAAGCCACAGCTTAAAGCGGTCTCGAACACACCATGTGCAAGACAGTTTCAAATTCAGGTCATTCCAAATAATTCAATTACATGTTTCCAAATAGAAGGAGAAATACTTTAAAAATTAAAGGGCAAGGACAATAATTACTTGTGATTAAAACACACTTGCCAAGCTGACTGTATCATATGCACCTTTTTAAGGTGACTCGCTGCCCCTTGGAGAAGCATGATTTTCATCATCACCCATTGGGCTCCCATTCTCCACTGGGCTTCCATTGTCCCTATGGATGGGGCTATTGCTGCGACTGCGGCCATTTTCTTCAATAGGACTCAAATTTCTGCGTTCGTCTATTCCAGCATCGTCTGTAGGGCTCCTGCTATGATCAGAACCATTGGCTGCCCTATCACCCCTAGGGGACGGCGTACCTCTCTCTTGTGGACTTCTTTCATCAGGTGAAGGGCTGTATTTCCTTCCTTTTGATGGAGGTGGTGATGATCTATGAGGGCGAGGACTTCTTGATCTTCTTTCTTCATGCTCAATGCTACGGTCCCTCTTCACAGGAGACCTGGAGTCGCTCTTCACAGGAGACCTGGAGTCCCTCCTCACAGGAGACCTGGAGTCCCTCCTCACAGGAGACCTGGATCGGCTGCAAAGAAATCAAACACACCATCTGTTAATACTTTATTTATTTATTTAGATAAGGTTATGGTAAAAAATATGTTTTAATATCATAAAAGGCAGATGAGATAACCAGAATGTGTTAGTAGTGACGGCACAACACTTTTTTTTTTTAATGACCGAGAAATCCGTCTAGGGCCGATCCTTTGGACCAACCGCAGCCTTCGAAACTCGGTGGATAATGGGCCCGCCCCTCTACACTTCTCCACTTAAATACCAGGCTTTGCTTTGCATGGTGTGGGGGCTCGAATCTATGACCTAAGACACAAATCCACCACCCTTTGCCACTTGAGCTAGGCCCTTGGGGCCACAACAGTAACACTTTCTTGGTTTAGCAACTCAAGCTTTCACATATTATCCACATGATACATCATGAAATGACAAATGCAATTACTTATCTGATGGTATTATTTCAACCATGAGTGACAATGCCAATTCAGTATCTCAAAACATAAGGCCAAAGCCATCAACGAAGTGAAACGGGGCACATTCCAAAAGGAGGAAGAGCAAATCGAGAGACCTGTAGCTACGACCTCTGCTGTAACTGTGGCTGCGACTTCTGCCACGACGAGGAGACGGTGAGCGGGAATAACTTCGTCCACGTCTGTTTATTAAAGAACAAATAAAAAACTTAACCATTAAAGCAAACTAGAGCATCAAAGAATACACAGCGTGAAATAAGAAGATGGCAACTAGGAAAATACTTCAATTTCTTGGGGCTATTCTGACAGTTTCTTTCTATATG